GCAGGAATATTTGCTTTAATAAAACCATCAGAATTAAAGGCTTCAGTAAAAATGCACATTCGCTCCTATGTGAGCAAACTGAAGACAAACACATTCAAAGTGAAAGAGGGGAGCGTGTGTGTGTGTCCATACCTGTGTGGTCAGAGCATGTTGAAACACTTCAGAGAGCTCCGAGCGCTGCTCTTGGCCTGGAGGGGGATCATGGTCTGGGCTTGGAGGCAGTACTTTGCCTTGTGGTTCAGCTCCTTCAGGGACAGCTTCTTAGAACAGCAGTCCATCTCAAACACCTCCTGAAGAGCAGACACAAGATCAGCTGCACCCTTAGGAAATGTTTTATGAACACAGCCTATCATGCAGTGTCACCAAAACTGAGCTTTGAAGCAGAAATGAAAGATTTATTTGCTAAAACAATTTGTTCTCCTTTTTGTTGTTGTTAGTTATTCTTCTTCTGCTCTCCCTCTTCTTCTTCCTCTTCCACTAATAATAGTTTAAAAGCAGTTTGCATGGTACTCACTGAAAAATTACCTTTCATTTGTTCCAGGAAAGCCCTATGTATGTCACCGTGGTCGTCTTTATCAATCAGCCAATCGACAGAAAATTAATCCCCAACAAAGTTGATAATTGTCTAATTACTTTAGTCATTTACTGAGTCAAAATGCTGCAGAGCAGGCAAACAGTAGTAGATAGTTCTCTTTACTGTGAACACATTATTCTGAAAATACAGATGTAAAATTAAGTGTTACTCAGACAATACAAAGATGGAGGTATGGCAGGCCGTCTAACGCACATGGCTGTGTGTGTGTGTGTGTGTGTATCTGTGTGTACCTCCTCTCCACTGATGTGTATGAGGTAGATCTTGTAGTGTAGACTGCTGTGCATCTTCCGGACGAGCAGTCGCGGGGGCTTCACACGGACCACAATCCCTTGCTCCGAGATGTTCAGCCTCAGTACAGGTGCGCTGATTTTGGCTGCAGATGAAAGGATCTGTTGTTTATTTTTATTTTTTCATGAAGAACCAAGTCATGAAAGAGTAACAGCACCACCGAAAGGAAATGGAGGTGATTAGTTTGTAGTTGAATTTAGTTTTTAATTCCAAAGAAGCTGAACTTTCTATACCATGTATAGTAGCAGGGGAAAAAAATCATGCAAAAGTATTTTGTACTTTAATAAAGTGACACGATTTTTACTTCAGGAAGATTTTAAACAGATGCCGTATCACATTGTTCTGACTTGTAGCTTGGGGAGTTGAAGTACCAGGTAATGTCACAGAATAGTCACAGATTTCCTTTCCTTTTTTAAGTTCTATGGAAAAAAGGCTGAAGAAATACTGTTACAACCTGGGACCAGGATCAATTGATAGTATAATAAAGTGACTGTACATACAGTTTAGTAAATTATACAGTTTGTCTAAAGAAATAAAATTCTCTAACTTTAAAAAATAGATTTAATTTATTAGTTTATTTG